GGTCCATAGATCACCTCATGATTTCCAACGGAGATTTGAAGAGGAAAATTTTCCAAAGATGAGAATTTTGGGGTGTTTATTTTTCCATAGAAAATTCTCCATTTCTAAAGATAAAAGTAATAACAATGAATGAATGCAATTTCCAATACAATATGAGGCAAACTTGGCAGTAATTAATGTGTTTGAGGTAATTATCCCTGGGAGTTTTGTGAGAGGGTGTACATGTTGTATTTATTTGCAAATGGGGAGGTGAAAGAGGGAAGAGGAAAAAATCAGAAATAATTGCAAATTAAAAAAAATAAAGCTATGAGTTCATCTGATTGACTGTGCAGGTCAAATCCTACCCAAATTAAAATTCTTGTTTATAAGTCTCCTCTCATATGAAGGAAGGGACATTATAATCAGCAGCCTGATATGGAATTAACGAGTAATGGAAGCAATCCCAGGGAGACCAATGGTGACATTGAGGTTTCCCAGTGGAAAAGAACTAAGTATTTGCAAACTGGATGCATGGTCCACTACATCCATAACAGCATTCATGGGTGTGCTAAAATTACATCAGCCTAAGCAGGTGTGATGGACTGTCAAGGGTTAACGTTCTAACACAGCCTGAGAACCTTTGAGTGACAGGCTATTCAAACAGAATTCTGTGAGGAGCATCAGTTAAGATGCTCTTGGGAACTGACTGTTGGAGACAGTTTAGCACTGACTGAGGACTGGGAAAGGAGGCAAAGAGGAGTGAGAGGATCACAGAAGATCCTGATTCAGGCTGAGGGGGGTACAGAGCTTCTAGTCAAGAGAGGTGGTCCCTGCCCAGTGAAATGGGAGGTGGCTCTTGGGGTGGTCTCTGGTCTATGTAGAGAGAAGAATTTTGGGAACTTAATTGTACGTTCCTGCCTTCTAAATATAAAGTGTCAGTGAAACTCAGGAAACTATGCTTTCGAGTTAAAGCAGAAGCTGAAAAGAAAGCCTCTCTTCTCAGAGTTCCAAACACCTTGTGGAAAAGCAAAAACACTTACTTGTTGGCAACATATTATCTGGATTTAGTGTGATTACAAAGTTAATTTGGTTTTTATTATCGGTTCACCTCATATATCCTACCCCTGATTCCACCTGACCTTTTCCTAAGCACATTACATAAAATATTTTGTTTATTTTTGAACTTTTCAAAGCCTCTCATGTGCCATTATGAAGTAAAATATAAGTAGGTGATTTTGTCTCTTCCTTAAGTCCTTGGGTTGAGCCAGCATCAAAATACATAATAACGTGACAGGGTAGGACAGCCATAGTCTAACAAATAAGAAGAAAATAGATTTAGGGGCTGCTCAGCAAGCAAGAAAGAAGAAACAAAGGGAAAACCTTGTTTGTGAGGGAGGGAAGAGGGCAAGATTGCCATAGCATGGTTTCTACCCTTCAAAGTGGCTAATGTCCATGGACTTTGAAGGGTATCACTCTAATTGGGATGGCACTGTTAGTGTGTAAACAGTTTACAGAGTCTCATGTTTTTTCCTTAAATGTAAATAGTGTAGGGGAAGTATGCGCTATGTTCTTCACAAATATGAGTCCAATAAATAAATCTTTGAATTTGTTTGAATGTAACATTTAAGCTATGTGAACTATTTTTTCCCTAATCAAATATTTCATTTTAAATGCTTGTTGCTTACTGGTAAAGAAAATTAACAGTTTTTTAAAGAAGTTTGCTGAATACAAGTTAAAATAAATTTGCTACATCAGATCATGATCTATTTAGTACACTGGATTTTTTTTAATTTTACAAAATGTATGCCTGATTTTCTGCCTTCATAAAATGCTACAAAGGTGGCTAACAAATTAAAAGCATAACAAACTCACATGTTACAAACCATAACAACCAACAAAAAGCACATCATTAAAGCTATTAAAATGAGAGCTAAACTACATACAAAAACATAAAAATAGTTAAAACATTAGGCAGGAAGGAGGGATCACTGAGGGAATGCCAAACAAAAGAAAAAATTCCTCAGTGGTACAAGATGGCAACAAAAGGAAACAGACAAATCTCCCTGAGGAGAGAGTTCCAGAGTTTTGATATCATGACTGAGAAGGCCCTCTCCTGGGTTGCTACCTTGGAAGATGACCGTAGTGGTTGGGTAGGTTCATAAGGAAGTAAGAGGACCTTCAGGTATGTTGGTCCCAAACCATGTAGGACTTTAAGGGTCAATACCAACACCTTGAATTGTGCCCAGAAACAAATTGGGAGCCAGTGTAGATTGGCTATGACTGGAGGGATATGGTCCCTATGACCCATTCTAGTCAGCATCCTGGGCACAGTATTTTGCATCAATTGACATTTCTGAACTCTTTTCAGAGGCAGCTGTGATGGATTGGAAAGACAAGCAGGCTTTTAAAAATGCTGCTTGTGTCAGAGAGTCAGGGAATTCATGAGTTAATCTTCCCTGGAAAGAAGAGCTTATGTGACTAGCTGCTCTACTCACTCTCTGATTGGCCAGCATCAGCTGAGAAAGGAAATAAAACAGCTCATCTGGAAGGAAAAGAGGTCTTTTGCTTTTTGGTCTTTCACAATCTAACATCTGGATCAGTAGCCAGAGGATTTGGTTTCTGAGGGAAGAGACATTTGGGGGTGTTTTCTGACAGGCAATAGTCAGAAAATATTTCTACAGAAAGAAGATGAGAAACCCCATTGTCTTAAATATATTAACATTGCTCTGAGGGAGAATTTAGATTCTTAGTCAGGAGAGCTACAGAACAGCCTTATACAGATGAAGTATACTGGAGAAGGATTTGGCAGAAAGTCTGGGTAGAGAACTCCCATAAAAGCCAAATAGTAAAAGGAGTTTATTTATTCGATTTATACCCCACCCTCCCCGCCGAAGCAGGCTCATGGTGGCTTACACAAAATATAAAACACATAGATAACAGTATCAACAGATATAAACAATTAGAAACAGTCATTATTGTTTCTTAGGGACAAGGAGAATAACTTTCTGCCAGTGAAAGGGGTTGGAAAGAGAACCCTGGTCTGTGGTAAATGGGAGAAGCTTAGACACCTCAGGAGTTAGTGAAAAGCTGTAGTATCTAAAGGGGAACAGAACTCTGAAGGAAGAAATCTGTAAAATTTAAGCAAACATTGTCATCCAGAAGAAACATTAATAAGAACTATGTTAGTGCTGAAATATACTAAACAAAGTACCTTTCAAAGAAAGAACTAGAAAACCTTGAAAATAAACTACAAATACACTCTCTTGAATGTTCTAAGAATTCATCTCTGTATATATTAGACAGTTTTTACCTCAGCAATCTCAAAACCTTGAGTATTTCTATTATACAGATATTCCCTGCCTGTTTAATAAAATCTTTATTCTGTTTTTGAAAGTTTATTTGCCTCGAGTGCCATTTCATGAGGGTTTATAAAACAGGACAGCTCCTGTCTTTCCCTCAAGTACCTGTACTGGTGTAAAGCCTAAACCAATATCTAAACAAAGAGTGGAACAGTTTCAAGTTTATATCAATAGAGAAGATATACATGCTACTGTAGGATGACTCAGTCACTGAGGGGAACTGAAATTTTGGTGGGAAAAATCTGCCAAACAGTTGGGGAGATGGGGGTTTGTCATAGCAGCCCTATATAAAGTGACATTAGGCCATGTAGTACAGTACAAATCTTCCTAGTAAAGTCTACAGTGGACTAACCAGTCAAAGCTAGTAAAAGGCAGTCCTGGACACAGCTGCCACCTACTTATTCAGCAATACCTTGGGCCCAAGAGCTCCTCCCCCAGACTACAGATTTATTTATTCAACGGGGTGCAGCCCCATCCAGATCAGGTGACTCTTTAAGATCAAGACCAGACCTTATGCTTAGCAGTTACACTTCCATCTCACTGGGATTAAGCTTCAGTGTATTAGCCTGTATCCACGCCAAAACTGCCTCCAAGCACTGGTTAAAGGCTTCTAAAGCCTCCCTAGGTTGGCTAGAAGTTCAAGGTAGAGCTGAATGTCATCAGCATGGTGGTGACATTCCAGCCAAATCTCTGGATAACCTCCAGATGACCGGCAGTTTCATGTATAAAAAAGCATAGTGGACAAGATGGAACCTTGTGGGATCCCATAAGCCCAGGGGCTGAGCAGCAGTCCCCCAGCGCTACATTCTGAAACCTCCAGGTAGGACCAGAACCACTGCAAGACAGTGCCTCCCAGTCTTAGCCTGAAAAGGTGGTGCAGAAGGATTAGTATGATGGTATCAAAAGCCACTGAGAAGTTCAGGAGACTCAATGA